ATGAATCGATTTCCTATCAATTCAGAAAAAAATACCGGTCGACGATTCCTACGCCTGCTATGGTCTATGATGCGATGATGGACATCTCAACGAAGCTCACTCTTGAGAGTCAAGCTGGAGAGACCCTCCGCCAATATATGATCTCCCATTATCAAGCGAATAAAAATACAGAAGATGAGAGGTTCACGTATATTGTTCTCATGCTCCAGCAATATGTTTGGGTCAAACAGGATTTCCTAGATCCACAAGGACAGAGTGACAAGGCTTCGAGAGGAATACTGCAACAAATTGTGCCATTGTTTGACCTCGGAGAAAAGATATGTGGATACCAAATTTTGATTATCTTCGACAATTTTACTACCGGAGTATTTCCAACTTCGTCACTCACCACTATCTGCGAAAAAGTTCGACGGGATGAACAAGTTTATGGTATTTGAGGTTGATGGTAGCATATCTCGGATTTACATATACTATGACCATGGCCTAAATGTATGTTATATATCGAGATTTACAAATTAATTCACTTGCAGATACTGATTCTATCATAGAATGAAGATATCTCTAAATTTTTATCAAAACATTAATTTTCATACATAAAACTCTATAAGTTCTGGAATAATCTACGGTATCTCGTCCTACTAATCAGGAAGTATAGTGATTTTAGGCCAATCGAACATACAATATATTGAGATGACATAACTATATAAGTAGTTATCTGATATATGCCTTATTTATTAGTCTTTAGCCAGCTAAGTAGCTCCTTGTTTGAGTGTAGGAAATCCGTGCTTTCCTCTTCTCTCTCCTTGCTCTATACACTTGAGGGACCGTAGCAAAAATAATAATCGGATAGTAAATACCATAATATATACATACGTAAATCTATTCTTTTGTAAAGATCTTATTTCTTTAACGTTCGGCTAATCATAAGCAATTTTGCGAGTCTCCTTTCACTTGAGTAAAGGCAGATTTTCCTTCTTGCAGCTTCTAATATAATCTTGGAGAGCTAGAGGATACAAGTAGTAGCAAGAGAAAAATTGAATAAAATGTGAATTGACTTCTCGGACTACATGTTCTAGAACCTTTGTAGGCAGAGTCGAGTACGAAACTGAACTGCGAGTGCTGAATCGGCCCGTATGCCTAGAGCATACAGCCACGACCGTTCCCCTCTTCAATAGATAACACAATATTAACAACAAGAAATCATTGAACGGGCTGGTCACATCACATCAATACAAAAGCCCATAAGAAATATCCTAGGAAATATCCAATGGAATAATTTACCGTGACCCTCAAATATGGTGAATCAGTTATGAGGGTGTGAATACATAAATATCCATTCATCCACTAAAGTTTTTACCAAAAAGCCCCGATGAATTGCTTTCCTATCATCTCACTACGATGCCTGCTTCTGAAGTGGATTAATCCTTTCTTAAAAGAAGATAACTCATCGGTCTCGAGAGCTCAAGAAAGCCGTGAGTTATATAAACTACAAAGAGAAACTCCTTGCTCATTGGTTTTTACTACAGACACAAGGGATGTCGAGTCCATCCAGTCTACACAATCATCTCAAGGGCCAGAAAGTATCCTCATACTTCCGAACATCACACCTGGTGAAAGATTTTGGTCATTACAGCCTCGAGTTTTGAGATCGCCAGACCCAATGGGATCCACCGAAAACCATCCCCCAAGGGTACAATTCGATCAAATGTCAGATTTTTTATCAAAAAATGCTTCACAAAACAGAATGGATAGGCTACCAACAGAGCTTATAGACAACATTATCGAGGCCAGTCTTTTCTCTGAACAGCTTGGGTCACATGATGCATTGCACACCCTCCAAGCCTTTTGCCAAGAGGAGAAGGACTCGATATTCAAAAGCAGGATCCATGCTGTTCTTCAGAGCTCTTCAATTCGAAAGAAAATAGAGAGTAGTTGGAACCTCTGCCCTACCTTTGAACATACAAAGACTTGTCAACATACTATCGTTAAGACTGCCTCGCATGATTTGGCTTCAAAAACGATTATTACTTGTGCGCAGTGCTTCTCCTTCCTACTTGATCATCAAACGATCCGCGCATCCTCGTTTTGTCAGGACGGGCAAAGTTTCTATCTGATTGCGACCAGAGCAGAGGACCTTAGTATGGCTAAACGCATACTATCTTCAATAGAGGTCCAAGATCTTTTTAAACCTGCTTCAGTGAGTAGAGGAAACGGTGACCGCAAATCTATATTTGAACTTACTACCTCGAACGGCGAGTTGTTTCGGAGTTTCTGGGAACGGCTTCGACCCTTACCCGCAATCACTTTACCTACTGTTGGGCCCAAAGAAAGAACAAATCTTTGCCACTTTGCCGACATAACTATAGCAAATGAGCTGCTAGATCGAGGAGTGGATTTAGGAATGCCCGACCCAAATAACAGATCTGCGAATTGGTATGCACTCTTACACCAACAGAACCCAGAGCCAATGCTCGATTGGTTTCAGAGTCGTGGCTTCGAGCGTCCAGAAGATCTTTTGACACATGCTATAACATACAACCACATGGACGCTGCTAGATGGATTTTGAAACATTCTATTACCTATGGAGACTGGCGCAATGCTTTATCTGTTGCGGCTGGGAATCCGGAACCCGGAAGCGATGAAATCTTTGAAATGATCATACAACGCCCACCTCCAGAATACAGAACGGACCGCACGCTCTCTTGTGATCTTTTGGTAACGATCATCGACAAGGTGTGTTCTTACAGTCGCTGGTATGATTACCACCTAACCCAAAAGGCCAATAAACAAAAGTATAGGGAACTTTTGGAACAGGGTGCTGTTCAGAAGATTCAAGCAGTTGGAGGATTGAAAGATGGTGTCAAAGTGACTAATGTGATTGGACTGAAGGTTCAAGCGAGGCGAATCGGTCTATATTTAATCATAGAAGCTTTAGATGCTTTTGATTGATGGAAATGCATCCGGTAGCCACTCAGAGCTTAATGCCTTCTCTTTTCGACATGTTGCGAGTAGATCTGGGTAGACTGCGACAACGCCCGTTAAAGTGGAGACACTTTTAGCGTCGCCAAGATATATGCGGAAACTCTTGGCAAAGTGAGTACTGCTAAGAACTAGTTATATGATTAGGAGGGGGGCTAGGAAGACTCGCGGTGGAGTGATTTCAACTGCTATAGGACCTGCACGAAAAATTTCGGATGGCACGAAAAGGGAGGGAAGCTAAGTGGTCTTACCTAATATTATATCGATCAAATTGGGATATCGTGGATATATTCTTCCACAGCGAATCGCTCATAGGCTTCGAGTTCTTGCTCAGAGCTAAATTAATTTCCGACTTGTCCTCATAGCAGCCAATCAGTCCTGGATTAGCAGGACGCACAGGACGTTTTTACAAGCGGTTAAGAGAGAAAGGACAAAGGCTACTAGAAGAGGGGTTTCATGTTGATATTCTAGGGCCTTCGTACGTAGAGTAAGGAAGTTTACTAACGAGCCGAATTGGATTTGTTTTGCTCTACAGTAGCTCACATCTTGGTGCAAATTAGACAAACATCTATGATTGCGGGGGTTAGGTATGCATTTCTCTCTTGCCGCCCGCTGCTGTGCCTCTTGTCTAGCACGAAGCTGAGCCTTTCCTATCATACCTGTCTATCAAAATTACTCCCTATACCCCGACCGACTTCATGGTGTGAATTACATCTGTGATTATATGTCTGTTTCAAAAGTATACTTTCTTTTATGCTAAGTGTGAAATTTAATTTGTATCATGAGAACTTTCTAGTGTGCGATTTACTATCAACAACAATGCACTATCAACAATGACTTCGGAGTTTGTTAATTATAGTCTTCAGTCTTTTAGCCATTCTTTATAGCGTGGAGTTATGTGAACAGGTCATTTAGTTATTCTTCCTTTTCTCTAAGGGTTTCGTACCATCATCAGGTAACACGGTGTACATAATTTTGCCATCTCATGGTAGGTTGGCTTCTTCAGCAAAAATACCTAAATGCGGATTTGAGTAACTCCTCTTTATGCTTATCTCCTTACACGCTTTGTTTGAATGGAGGCTACACTATCTCGGTAAAATATAATATTATAATGTAGAGGGAAAAAGGAGGCAATCAATTACACCAATTATTACCAACATGGTTTGAATTTAGCTCTATTTCCCGGAGATGTCTTTCTAACTTCTTTCTTCTATTCATTGATAAGCATTCACAGTGAAAATCTTTCTACTTCTTAAACTGACGGGTTATTGGATCCCACATATGATCTATCTTGACTAGAAGCCTAGTATAAATTGACCATTTCTATGATTCGGTCGACGAGGAAGCAAGAATATCTTGTTGAAGGAGATGAAATGCCACGAAAGCGAGTTTCAGTCGCAGTAAGTGCTCTTTTCGTTTTGATAAGCCGGCAAGTTCTAACCCTCAAATAGTGCACTCGATGCCGGAGGATGAAGATCAGATGTAACGGTGATATCCGCACTGGCCTACCTTGCTCAGCCTGCTGTCGTGTTGGAGCTACCGAATGCCAGTACAAACGAGTGAGCCAAAGTCCTCAATACTTACAATGAGAGCTTAAATAACCTTTATTCTTTACCCTCCTAGACACATTCTTTGTCCCTTGAAGAAGCATCTAGGTTTTATACAACCAATGCTCAAGAAGAAAGGCTAACCCTTATGGGCTCCAATCAAATCCGGGCTCTGTACCAGCAAGATGAGTGCGAACTGGATATCCTCTCATGGCAACAACCCGTCGGTATAGACCACTCCTATGTCGACCAGTCAGCCAACTACCAGGGTCAGACATTGCCTAGTTACATGCCGCATAGCACTGGAGGAATGCTCAACGGCTATAGCAACGTATGGGACAGCCTGCCTTCGGATCCTAGTGGCATACCCACCGAGGTCTTTGAAGACCAAAGTTGCAACTTAAACCAAGCTACGTACGGTTTCGTCCTCCCAGCCCAAGACATAGCCACGAAAATGCCCCGGTCAACAGAAGCAATGACCACACCTTATACAGACGCACACTGCATCCTCCCAGGCGGCCTCTCAGGCATAACCCCAGTCACACACGCAAAGGTCTGGAACTTCGGATTTGCAATCTCCCCAGAAGTTCCAATGGCTATCCAGAGCAAAGGTCTTACAGCATCAGCCCCTCGGAACGAATTAAGTCACTGGACTCAGATAAAGGAATACCCGACCTCATCCCCAGAAGACCCAACACCTCCGATATATGACTAGAGCGCACGTTCCTGCGTAGCGCTGGACAGCGTTTTCTCGAGCTAAAATATGACTGTGTGACTTATGTGTATTGGGTATGCGGGTAGTGAGCACAGTAAGTCTATGAGTGTTATCGAGGGTGATGTGCCCTGATCAGTGCATATATACGTGTTTGAAATACGGACTCGATGTTTGGTCTGCCTTTTGTTGTTGTTTATTCTGTTTCGTTTTGATTTAATACTCGTTCTATTTTGTCGTCATTTTCAGGTCTGTTTACCAAAAGAGGGAGAACATACACTCGGGGGACCATGATGAGATGCCTATCCTGTCGTACCCGTCTGCCAGGATCACTCCCTATACACTGTGGATTATATCTATGCTTGTGTCTGTTTCAAAAGTATGCTTTCTTTCATGCTATATGTAAAATTTAGTATTTTCTATCTTTATTACGAGAACTTGAAGTTTGCGATTTACTATCAAGAATGACTTGGAGTTTGTTAATTCTAGTCTAAAGTATGGGGCTATATGAACAGGTAAATCAGGTATTTTTTCTCCAAGGGTTGCCTAGATACGGATTTGATTTGAGCTACTCCTTATATCCTTACACGCTTTGTTTCTCAGTACTTTCGTTGGTGTAACCTGGAACATGTTGAACAATCTCGAATCTTCTGACTTTTTCCATGCGCGGTGAAAGGAGAGTCGAGGCCCTGTTGTCTCTCAATCGTTTCCTAAGCGATCCTTTCGAGAATATCATATGGTTGTGCCTTGCCAAATGACTAGGAGCGGGCTCTGATTTAGAAGCGCTAAACATATTAAACTCGACGCCTTGCTGTCTCGCCCTTTTACTT